GTCAAGCTACAGGTTATAAACAAGTCTCATAAAACACCCGTGTAAATGGACAGGATATGGCTTTTGGTGAATGTTAAGAGGCTCAGGTCATGAATACCAAAGCATGCGGGCCCTAAAACCTCTATTTTAGCAAACACTATATCAGTGTCAGATATCAGGGTGATAGTTGTATATATTTTATTTTATATTAAGCTGGGTGACAACTGTATCTTGCAGTGTATGTGTTGCAATACAGCACACATGTAAGTGTGTGAGCGTTTCAAAATACAAGGTGGTAGAGGACTGGGATTAAGTTACAGTAAACTACAATAGCTCTGACTAACGACATTGATTGCTCTGTAAGGGCTGGTCTGCATGCTGGATTAAAGATCTTCATTTGTTAACCAGCTTTATAAACTTCAACAATTCTTTGCTCTAAGACACCCACAAGGCATTTACTAAGAAAAATCAAAGGTATTAACTTCATGTTTAAAAATAGGTTCATACACTGTTAATGGATATGAAGTTTTGTTGGCATCCTTCAAAAACACAACATCTCAGTTTAAAACCACAAACCAGAAGTTTAGAAATAATTCTTCTTATAACTCTAAAGGGAATAGTACTTCAATTAAAATCTGACTGACAAGGCTCCTACTTTGTTGGTGGATTACCTTAAACATTAGTTAGGGCATTGTAAGTACCTCGGACTTATTGATTCAAGAGAAGGCCGTGCAGTTAATGGTGTTTTTATGTGATTCATGCTGTACAGAATGGCAAGCAATTGAATCTCGGTTGCAAACCAAGTAATAAAAGGCCTTCGTGGAAGAATACAGCCCCAGGGATCCTTGCCAATTGTCAGTGACCCAGATGAACTTACATCTGGCCTGTTGCATTGGATCAATTCCAATATGGTCTGTTCAGTTCAGCAATAATCTATCCGAGTTAGCTTCTATTGTTGTTGGTCACATGGCAATATCGTATTTTATTTATTTTGCCTAACCCAACTGTTGTTTAATCATCAAAGGAAACATGGCTTCTCAAGTCTTCCTTTTTCACGCCGAAATAAAGGATTCAAATATTATACACACAGTGACGTAATGTAGTAAGCCCTTTCATAGTGTGGAACTGTGTGTCGACTGAGCACAGTCAGTGCCTTTCAGTGTCTTACCTGAGGCTAAAACTGAACTATCTGTTCCAAATGCGCTCTGCACAGCATGGCAGCATCATATTACGGGGGGCATTTTAATGACCCCCATAAAAAGGAAGCTGGTCGGTGCTGATGGAATCACTGCACGTCAAGAGAAGCAATCGAAAACAAAATGTGATAATTTTAAGATTATGTTTTATATTTTTGTAAGCTACTCATCACTTTTCTGCACCAATGTTATCCACAATTTTGTGTTGGTATATCAAACCCAATAAAACTAAAATACAGTTAGGGTCGTGGTTGTAAAGTGACAAAATGTGGAAACGTTCAGCATTTTGAACGCTGCAAATTCCCAAATATCTAAGTTGGCATCCGTTAAACTTCCGTCCCGATTGTTGCACTAGTGTGAAGCTTAGCTGGACCAGTCTGGGATGACTGGGTTGAACCAGTCTGGTTTCTGCCGCCCGAGTTATGCTGCCTGTGCAGGGTTTTTGTTCCAGCCTGACAGGCACCCACTGTAATTAACTCCCTGGATCACTCCGCATGCTCATTCAAACAGACAAAAAAAGTGAACGGGAGACAGAGGAAGGGAGGGGGGACAGAGAAGGAGAAATGGACAGTGACAGGCAAACTAATTCAATGACTGTATGTCACTGATTTAGATGGCAAGAGCTCTCACACAGAAAGATACACATATGTGCAAATTGCATACAAACAGATCCAGGAAACAGCAGGTGCAAATATACAGCTCTGCCCTTTTGGTGTGAAACATCCTAGGGAAAGTGAAATAATGAGAAAGCTTTTTCAAGCTGCTTTTGGACAGCTAATACCCTAGTTCCCTAAATTTATGGTCAAAGAGGAAGGAGGATTATTGTGCTACCAAGCTGAAAACTCAGAGGAAACTAACAGTATCAGCTAATGTGGGGTTAGTACTGTAAAGGTTGTCTTTCATCCTATAACCCTAACTGCATCTAAACTGGAACCATCACACAGACCAATCATAGTGCTGGGGCATTATGATGTAGATTGTGAATTTTGTTTTTGTCAGCAATTCAACATGTATTGTTTAATTAAAACATACAATGGTGCTGCTAGAGCAACTAGGTCAACTTTTCTTTTCCAATTAGATTGTGATTGGCCAGAAAATATTTGATGGTGCATCTCTAGATTTTTATTATGAGGACAAGTTATTTGAGTCTTACAACACAGACCGTCTATAGCTGAAATCACAGCCATGTATAACGTTATTATCAATGAGCACTTTTGTCCACTTTAAAGCCTCTGTACATTAAAGTTGTTTACCGGCTTTGGCAGGGTAGACTAAAAAGGACAGATCATGTGTTCTGGGAAACTAGAATGTTGCATTGAATGGGAACTGGATCCATCTATAGGCGTGTGACTGTTTGCAATGTCTGTTTAAGCATGCGCACAACAGTGTGGTCAGGGTCTCTCTGAATGTGATAACTTAGGACTCGGTACATGGCTGCTTTCTGGGAGGGATGCCATGATAATCCCGTGTTTGGCTCATCATCTCCCTCTCTTACTTTCACGCTCATTTGTCCACTCACCATCTCCTCTATGTTTTTCACACTCATATTTTACTTCTCCTCCAGCTGTTGAGCTACAGGTAAAAATCTATGAATTATGCTTGGAATGATTTAATTCATGTTTTTGGTTTTGACCCTTGTGACCATGCAAGGACAAGTGGGTACAGATGAATGGATGATTGGATATATAGTTATTTGTTTTTACGCATTCTGTTTGGCAACAAATTGCCACAAGCTACCAGCTCATACTGAACGTCATTCACAAGTTAAACCCAAAGGAATATTAATAAACACAGACATTATTTACTGTTTAGTTGAAAGCATACAGTTATATCTAATAAATTAGAATAAGCAGTCCATTGAGGCTTGTTTGCTACTGGTCTGACATAATATTTAAATCTTAAATGTTGTGTTTTCATTAATTGTAGGAGTACAATCTTCAACATGAACAGAAATAAAACTTAAAAAAAAACAGTGTGTGTAATTGATCTACATAATTTGCTTAACTTAGTTAACTTACTAATTGGAATAAAGGTGATTTTGAATGACATTCTAACCTATTGAGTATAGCAGAGGCTTGCTACTGACATGAAGCTGATTCAATAGGTGTTAGAGTAATACCTGAAAAGGTGATACAGGGGCATGCCTGCTGCTTGTTAGTCCAATAGACAGACTCTGATCTGAAGGATTAGCCAAGACTCTTGTTTTGGAATTAGCTCTCAACCAAACACATGACTGATTTTGCTCACAAAGCAAACAGTCAAGGCAAATGGCTTACCAGAACACTGCATTCTTTTGTGAGGCTAAGATGAAAAGTCCATCTCCCACCACATGTTTTATTCATGTCTTTTACCATACATGGCATTAATTATGGGAATAACAAAATATTGTAATATAAACTGCACTTCATTATTTTCTCCCACTATGAAGTTTGTGCATGACAAACAATTTCATTCACAAACTACAATACCCTCAGTAGGTTAAAACATGCTACCTCTTAAAACGTTTGCACAATTTGAAAACCATAAACATTATTGTACTAAACTGAGATTTTATGTAATGGACCAACTAAAACGACTGCATAGTTTGATGCGAGAACAAAAAATGAAACTTATTTTCCCCCAAAATTCTAATTGTTAAAACTCTGACATGTATGGGGTGCCTCCTTCACTGTGATACTTTCTAAATAAATTCTTGCCTTCATAAATAACCTCATTAGAAGGAAAATTATTTTTGAGTGCTTTAATTGCAGTATAAATACAGCTATTCTATAAAAGAGGTTTATTAGTGACACAGGGGGCAAACAGCATCACAAGGAACAAGGAGAACACAGCAGATAGCTCAGGAATGAAGTTGTAAAGAGGCTTAAAGCAGGCTCAGATTATAAAACAATATCCCAGGCTTTAAACATATTACTGAGTGTTTCTCAGTAAAGCACATGTAAATGCACACCACACTTTTGTAAAGAACAAAGTTATTCATATCATGTCATAGGAAAGAACCTTTTCAAGGAACTGAACTAGGGATGTGCCAATATGAAAGTTTGGACCGATATCAATAGCCGATACTAATATTGCTGTTACCTGCTGATACCGATGTTAGTGCAGACGTATTGTGCATCCCTAAACTGAACACTTGTAACTGCAATCAGAAAAGCCATCTTTGTCGGAGCTTCCTTTTAACATCCATCCATCCAGTGGTCATTATGCGAGAGGCAGCAGGGTACAACACAGGTTGCTAATCCATCACGTTACACAGAGACACATAAGATAAAAAAAAAAAATGCATACATACACCTAAAGGCAAATGAGAGAGATCAATTAACCCAACGGTCATGTTGGATTCCAAAGTACCTGGATAGACCCCATGCATGCACAAGGAGAACATGCTAGTTTTCTGTAGAAAGACCTCACACCAGGATTTGAACACAGGACCTTCTTCCTGCACTACCAACTGCGCAAACACTCAGCCCTTCATCTAACATGTAGTACGAAAACATTTTTCAACAACACACCAGAGAAAGAAAGTACTTTACTTTTTATATCAACTGTAGAGTGCTTTTGATTAGAGATCTTAATGATAATTGACTTAACTGACTGACTTCTATTAGGAAAATTAAAGCTCACTCTGAAGATTTGTAATGATTTTCCACGTGAAATTTCACTTCACAAAGTTTGGGCCAATTCAGGAATAATTTTTCTAAAATTTACACATTCCAACAACAACATACCAACAGCTTTTTCATTCTTCTTGTCATTAGCATTCACCTTGCGTGGCTGTACCTCCTGATGAACAGTCTGTATTAACAAGAAAATACTTTGTCTTACCTGTAGTTCACACCAAGCCACTTCCACCCAGGTCTCCGTGTCAAGGCCTTTGTACACAGTCTTGAAGGCTCCTCTGCCCAGTTCAATGTCAAACTTAAGAAACCTTCCGCCAGGGGAAGTGGCTACTGCCTTCATCTCTGCTTCCTCCTCCTGTTCACGGTCCCTCTCTCTCACACTCGGGGTGGGTGCAGATGGAGGAGCATCTTTTCCAGGCTCATAGCCCTGAGAGGGGTCGTGCCCCAAGGCTACACAGGAAGAAGCAGCCCCTTGCTGCTGTGCACTGTCAAAGACCGAATCTGTGGAGTGCAGCTCCAGGTGCGGGGCACTGTGGGGAGCGTCAGGAGGCATGCCTACCTCATCATCCGCATCACAGATCTCCACACTCTTTCTGAAGAAGCGCTTTTCCCGTCTCTGTCGTTTTTGACCAGTATCGACAGGAACTGAAGGCATAGGGACTAGGACCGGAGTCTCTCCAAGCTTCTGAAAGGCAGCTTCTCCGTTTCCTCCTCTGTCGTCTCCTCCTTTCTCTGTGTCCATTTGAGCCTGGGAGGAGGGGAGGCCCAAAAAGGTGTTAGGTGTCCTCTCCCTCTGTTGGTCTCTCCTGACCTCCCGCTGCTTGTCCTCCTCCTCCTTCTTTCCATCAGCTTTCTCAGATGAGTCCTCAGTGCCTGTGGGCTCTCCTGGGTCTGTAGCCATGGAGAAAGGTCTTTCCCAAACCTTCGAGACCTCCTCCTTCGCCGCCTCCTCCAAACCCTTGCTCCTCCGTCAGTCCCCGTCTCTCTCTCTTTCTGTGGTCAGCCAGTCACCACTTTTTTCTGAAAGGCTTTTTATCTGTGATTCAGATTGCAGATGGTTTAAATTGCAGACTTTCTCCCCCTCTTGTCTACTTTTTTCCTCATTTGTGTCTTTTTCTAAGATTCTACTCAGTAATTCATAAGGATGACAGCGCAGGCACTAAAGAATAGCTTTTGTCTCCAGTGTCCTTATCCTAATTTTTCTCCATGTTTGTCAAAATCCACTTGTGTAGCAGAACCCAAAGGAATTGACATGTTTGTCAAGCAGCACACTAATCCAGGGGTTTTCACACTTCTTGTGAAAGCTGAAGATTTTTTTCTCTGAAGATCTTCAAGTGAATCTGCAAGACAAATACGAAACAATTTCTTAATATTTAGATACACACCAGATGGAATTCCTAAATTATAAATATATCTGCGTCTCTGAAGTTAAGGTAAGCCAGGTTTCAAGCAAGCCTTTCTAGTACAAATTTGAATTATGATTTTTTTTTTTTTTTAAATCCTCATTCTTTGCAGGGATACTTTCTAACCATCACATATACATGAAAGCATGTGCATTTAATAATGTTCCTTTCCTACAAGTCTTTCCAAAAGCCAAAAGAAAAAATGAACAGAGGTGATTGTGTACAATGATTGTATGTAATTAAACAAAAAGTCTTTGTAAAGTTGAAGAAATGAATTTCAGAAGGGATTTTTAATGAGCTACCCTAATCAACCATCCAGCACGTTTATCAGCCTTTTGTGACATAAATTGTGTCAAACAGCTCCATTAGTCAACAGAGAGCTGCAGTCAGTGGATTGCAACTGCAACCATTAAAAATGGAGGACGATCTAGGGGCCAGTTGAGTGTGAATAATTCATACAAAGAGTGACTGTTGAACTGTGTCGGAGTGACTAGACATCTGTAGTGGAGATCTAATAAACAAACAAAATACTCATAAACATAATTATCTGGCATCAGCCAAGAGAGATAATCAGTGCATTTTTGGTCAGTTTGGATAAGCTTATTGCAGTTCTGCCTGTAGACTAGACATGTACTGATCACTGGTGCCAAGATACATACAGGCCTTTAAAACGTTAGGTTCAAAGTCTGTAAAATGTCTTGTTACGCTGATTCTATATGTTAAAACTCCTGAGTATTCTTCAGCTGTATGAAGCATCGATTAATATTGCGGCTACCCTCCCACACCTGTTGCTGCCATTGCCAATCAACGTACTGAAATAATACTATATTTTTTTTAAATATGATTGATGTTTTAACTTTATTTTTCTGGTTGCAAAACACAGCCATGGCATAAAAACTACAGGAGGAACATCTTTTACGTCTGCATTTTAAATATCTAGGTTTGGCAATATAAGAGCATGACTGCAGAGTAGACAGCTGGACTAAATACCCAGCCAGTACCAGCATGTTAAACTTATGTTCCTCAATAAATAGGAGAACAGAAAGCTGGGTTATATACTGTGCACTAAACTGCTACTAAATTTAATAGGTGCTTATTCTGGATTGTTTTTGTAAGTTTATGTCATAAAATAAAGATTTCAGAGGTTAACACTATTTTTATGGTAATAATTAATGTTACATTATTGTGGGAGTAGTAGGAATAATTGTTGCTTTTCAGTTTTGCATAAAAGAAAAACGATGGCTTACATTGTTGTTTCACAATGTGAACACAATGATAGTGTGAAGCAACACTTTTACCCAAGGATATGAGCCCTGCTACTTTCATCTACCATGTGTGCCACTTAGTGTACCGTGCTACAGAATTTATGCAACTGATAATCATTATTGCAGAGATAACCCAACAATAACATATTTATATTATGGCTCCCTATGCAGATGTTGCTGAAGATTCACTCACTTCGATATGTTAGGTGCTTGGAAATGAAAGTGAAACTGACAGCATGACCACCTTTCTGGTGAATTCAACAACTAATTATATAACCTCTGGGGAGCACTCAGAGTATTGAACCCTTGAATATAAAAGGTAAAATGTCCAAATGCAGTAAAACACAGGCCTGACAGGATTTGATGTTCCAACAAAATCTACCTAATTTTCTCATGTTTAGTTCTGCACAAAACATAGGTTTCAATAAAGCGACATAGATGACAAGACAAGAAATGGTGTGGCAACCACATTTTTAGCTGCTGCTTTGTTAGAGTATCAAAACCAATAGTTTCTCTGACAGTTTCTACAGGAAAGCTCAGGATCAATATTCTGAACATAAAGGAAGCAAACAAACTAGAATAAAGAGGCAACAGTTTCAGCACAGAGAAATGTGGTTAGACTGGGAGTAGAAGGTAAAATAAATGGAGAGAGAAAAAAGGTGGAGTCATGATAAGGAAATAATCTTGCTTTGCATTAGTTCAAAACACTACACCTTTTACTTTACAGATGACCACATGAAGCTTGACAGTACATCTTGCCAGTCCAAACTTGCTAGACTTTTTAGAGCATCTACATCACATGAATAGTTTCTTGGGATACAGGACTTGTAGTTATGAAGACATCAATAGGGACCACCTACCTCACCACAGTGAGTCCAGACCTTAGACCTTAGAGAAAAGAAACCATGCTGGTCTCTTTTCTCTTTCACAACACGGCCATTAAGAATCGCATCAAGCCTATTGTGTGTCCAACTTTAAAGTAAACATGTCTGGCAAGCAATGTGCATAGCTGTCAGTCAAATTAAAAGACCAACTGCTAAGAAACTCTGAAAAGAACAGAAACAATTCCAGCTAAGCGACATTCCAAGGACAGAAACGCAAGCTGTAAAAAACAAAGTATAGTTTCTGACTCAACACGGAAGCACAATGCAACACATCTACTTATGCAATAACATAGAAACAAAACAGAAAACCTAACAATGGCTAAAAGCAAAGGGAAATAAAACAGTTATGGCACTCATAAGGGACATACTGCAAGGTACAGTTCTTCTCTTGAGGTAAAGCATAATACAAGTAAAGGACACAAAGGTGGAACAAGGTACAATAAAGAAAAAAGGAAGCTGCCATTTAAAACAGGAGCTTTTTTGCCCTATCTCCAGGGTAAGGAGTTCCCATGAAAGCCACATACCGGACAGAGTTATCACAGTACATCAAACACGTTCAACCGCATCATTGTCTCTCACACCCTCACAGTCTCCCTCCCAAACACACACACACAAATATTGAACCCACACCAGTTTGTCAGGACAAACTTTGTTGTTTTACACGTACCCTCTTTTATTTGCAGAGGAAAAACACACACATATGCATGCAAACTGTCACTCTCACCCAACCCGCTCGTTCCCCTTTCAACGAAAGAATGCTGAGAGGAATTTCCTGACACCAGCCAAATGACCAAGCAACTGCTCATGTGGGCAAATGTGGTATACTACAGATGAAGATAATAAAACCAACACTGCAGCTGAAATTGTGACATCTCGCCCAGGCAGCAAAATGACTCTAGCATGAAGCGTACATCTGGCTGACATGTCAGAATAATTCTCTCTTCACATCTCTTGTCGGTGCTCCAATTCGCGAGAGATGAACTCTTGTACCGAGGCGGCCTTTGAGGCTTCCGGGAGTTTCCGAGTACACCTGCAGCTGTCTAATAATCCCTGAAATGTGCAGCTAAAATTATTGTGACATGTTTGCCTACTGACTGCCAAAGATATGATCTTCTACATAACCGTAAAAACAAAGGAGAATGTTATTTATCTTTCCTACAGATCTCTGGTCTTCATCTGAAAAAAGAAAAGGCACTAATAAAAAATGAATGAATACAAATTTACATTTCATTGTGCTTTGCATCTACTAAGCAAGGCTTTTTTGTTCACATGAACAGGACTGAAAATGTCTGAAAAACTAAACCAAATAAGTCTAGAGAAAATTTAAAAAACCCTTCAAAAACAATTAGCAATCTACAACTTAACACAAATTTGTCTCCTTGAAAACAAAAATAAAGTTAGCATGGATTGTTTAAATCTTTCACACTAGAACATAATCTGAATTTTCTAACTTACACTGAATAAAAATACTACGGTCCTGCAGCAACTTCAGCTTACCGGACAGCGGCTGAAAAACTAGGAAGGTCGATAGAAACAGAGCCGGAGGACTGTGTGTGTGCTGGCCATGTTTTTGTGACTGAGAGGGGAAATGCAGATGAAAAGAGTGAATAAAATGTGGCATGGGGGGGACAGGAAGGGACTGCAGTTGGTGGGAGCAGGCGGACAGTAGAGTTTTAAACACAGCGAAAGAGAGGGAAAGAGAGATGGCGCGAGGGAGGGGCAGTGGCTGATGGGGTGAGAAAAATGTGAGTGAAAGAGAATGAGGGCGAGATAAAGGGGAGGGGGTGGCATAGACAAAAAGGGGGCTGAGGGCAGGTTGTCTGATAAAATATGTGCCAATGTTTGCGTGAATGACTGCAGCGAGTAGCTAAATCTCTGCTCAAACAATAGCAGCTAAGAGGAGAACAGAAGAGAGGAGAGGAAGAATGCCTCTGGAGGATGGAAAAGTTGAAAAAACACAAGGTGATTACATTAGCATAGGAATAGTTTCCGCTTGTACGTCCTCTGACACAGGCTGACGGGGAGCTGGTGCTGTCCAACTATTTAATGTTATAAAATGTCCATATAAAAAATAGAAGTAAAAAGTTAATTAAATAACTGAAATAAAAATATTTCACTTTAGTGTTATCTGCTCAGTTTTGCCTGCCTGGCTGCCTGGCTGGCTGGCTGGCTGGCTGGCTGGCTGGATGGCTGGATGGCACACTTCATTTTTGCAACAGTCTCATATAGAAACCTTAAAGAACAACAGCTGAAAAGTTGAGATCCTAACATTATCTTAATTTTCCAGAAAAATAAATATCTTCTGATTGTTAGGAGGTTCTTAAAGAGCTTTCTTTGTGAAACTATTATACATTTCTTTATCTTAAGACACTGAAGTTCAATTTTGAAAACTAAGGATCAGCTTAGGCAATTCAGAGATCAAACACCTACCTGAGGAAACAAATCACATGTAAAGCAGAAAGTGGAGTGAGCATTGCAACCTTAGTGGAGCATAATAAAACCATAAAAAAATTATATTTTCCAGATATATGATCAGGTGTCAGCTGTGATGTTTTGCATATAATTCTATTGCCTTTCAGCAGGAAGTGCAATCTTGCTTAAGTTGTGCACCTGGGAGTCGCCTACATTTAACACATTTGTTTGTCTGGAAACCGAAAAACAACGGAGCCTCCAAGTGGAACAACCATTTGTTCAATTCAGAGACAGATTCATACCTGCTCGTCATTCAAACTTTTCCATGCATGCTTAATTCAATGCTCAAACTTATTTCAGATTTCAGACTCCTTCCAACTCAGCAATAGTCTCACAGAGATTTAGAGCGGAGATAGAGGCTGAGTAATGTGGGAAGACAGAGGAAGCACAAGGTCTGAAAGCTGCTGGCCAAAATTCAAATGGGCTCTGAGTCAAGCGGCAACTTCACTGATGATATTAGGTCCCTGCAGCTCAGTTGTTGATCACACAGACGGACAAATACAAAGACCACGGTCCTTGTGAGAGGCCACGTTTAACAGGCATGACTCACACTGTCAGATTTCTGGAGGCAAGTCTTTAAAGAGCTCAGTAGTGGGAGAGAGGATAACTCCCAAATAGTGGCTGGGTTGATTTGCAATGGTTTACAATCACAACCTCCAATGTATTTCACTAACACAAAGTAGTGCATAAATAACACATTGATATTGATTTAAACCAATCTGTTCTTGCTGTGGATTTGTGTTGAGAGGGTCATTGTTCTGCTGGAAGGTGGACTTCCACGCCGCTCTAATCTCCTACAGCCTATAAAGGTTTTTCTTTCAGGACTGCTCTGCTTCAGAATCAAAAGTTTACATATAGAATGATTATTATCTCTTCGTGATAATAATGGAAACCGCAGATACTGATATCATGGCTTCCTAGGCAGCCATCGCTCCACGAGAAATACAAAAAGGCAGAGTGAAGTTTGCTAATGTACAGAGGAACAAAGATCTTCATTTTTGAAGACATTTGCTGTGGTTTGATGGAACTGTTTGATCATAATGACCATCACTGCATCTGGAGGAAAAAGGGGGACACTTGTTGTATGCCTGGGAACACTATTTTAACTACAAAGTATGGGAGTGGAGGAATACAGTTGTGGAGCCTACAAACCTGACTCAGTTCCACCAGTTCTGTCAGGAGGAATGGGCCAGAACTCCAGTAAACTATTGTAAAAAGCTTGTGGAAGAAAACCCAGAATCACGTTATACGGTTAAAAGGCAATGATACTGAGATAATGTATGTAAACTTTTGACTTTGAAGACATTAATAAATACATATTTGAAATATTATCTTTCTCCTTACTGTGACATTTAGCAAATAAAAATAATTTTGGTCACTCTGACTTAAAATGGGACAAGTTTGGTCTGATTTAACATCAGACAAAGAGACAAAAACATTTGTCTTTCTATTTGGTGTATGTAAACTTCTGGTTTCAACTGTACTTCTAAAAATACCTTAAAATGTATTTGTCTTTAGAAAAAAATGGGCCAAAGTAAACGTACAAAAAGACCAACGTGCAATCGTTTCTCCTAAGCGCATGAACAACTTGTTCAGCACATGTTGCCGCTTCCCTGTTTGCAAGAAATATCAAATGCCAGCTGCTGGAATCACACACACCATTGATTGTTCTCATCCTATTAGGGAAACTCAAGGCTCAAAACACAACAAGGACTTTTGTCCAATCCAGGTCAAGCATGTGAGACTCGAGTGTAGGTAGCAGCACACACACAGCACTGTTCACAGGGATAGAGCGAACAGAGAGAGGGAGAAAGATGTGTGTTATCTAACCCCCATGGTTTCTGTTCGCTTTGTATCCCCTCTGTGGGCAAAACCATACAAATCTAGGTGAAAGAAAAGCTTTCTAATCACTCACTGATGAACCAGGATTAAACATTACTGAGTGGCTTAATAGTCTAGGAGTACGTTATCTACAACTGAACTTCTTTCACTTCTGAATAATCCCTGGGTTTTTATGAATAATGAGGGTGCCAGAGGTTCAGGCGACTTAGCAGTTTAGAGGAATTAAAGAGGGTAAAGGTTTTGCTTTATTCATAACTCGTGCTAATACTACACATTGTTTCAACATAGCAAGAAATACATTTTCTGTTTACGCTAAACCCACATAAAGATAATTTCTACAACTCTCATTCTGCACCAACAAGCTGAGAAACGCAGATTGCGTGTTTATTTATAGGGTCCAGTATACACAGCGCAGTGATGGCTGGACGTGAAGGTAACATGAAACACTGCTATTGGCGAGCAGGGAGCTCAGCTGACTTGAGAAACGCCATACAAGAGAGGCAAAGAGTACAATCCCCATACAGGGAAAAAGAAGATGACAGGGGGCGACGGGCAGCACCACTAATCAACATCAACAATGGTCCCCGAGGTGCGACCACGCTTCAAATCCTACAACTGATGGGCCAGCTCCGGGTTTATTAAGAGGGCCCGTCTCCTACAGCACGGTTTGCTCTACACTAGTGTTTATACACTAAACATTTTCTATAATTAGTAGGAAAACACAATACATGACTAGTTTAATCCCCGTTCCCAAATCACACAGGACTATATGACATAACACTCTAATTATGACAAATATTTGTAGTGTAATACAAATAAAAAATAAATATTACTCACCTGAACGTAACGTCATACCTCATCCGTCCTGCGTTGATTTAATTAAAAAAGGGTAGCTTAAATATGCTGACTGTAAACGGGATTTTTATTGCCTATTTACAAATGTCCGGATTACCCAAGCTAAATTTACATCACACTCTCATATAAAAATTATCTACACCTATTGGAAAAACACACTTTAAGAAAAAAACCGGGGCTCCGTTTGCTCCAAGCCTAACATTTTACCGGCCGGTCGCGGTGATAACGGCTGGAAAAATCCTCCACCACCACCGGAGCCGTCGAGCTACGGTGTCCGTGTGTGACAGCGAGGCAGCGGGCGAGCAGCCGGCGGACGTGTTCCAGCTCAGACTATGAGTAACGTCGGTTCACTCATGTTCTCCTTCACTGGCTGCTCGGCTGGTCGGCTTGCTGCGAGCAGTCTGCAGTCGTCCAGTGACGGTAATCCGCAAAATTTCAGTAACTTGTGTACATCGCTGACAAGAGGACTCCTGATGGTCAGCAGTAGGTTCGCGTGCGTACTGACAGAGCGCGCGCAGCCACTGGGCTCATCATCATCATCAACAACATAAGGACTCTAGAAGTGACAGTTAGCTGCCGTCACCACGAGAGGGCGGTGCGGCACCTGTTTATGATCTCTGTTCGAGGTTTTTGCAATTTCTTGGTCACAAATTTTGAAAAGAGTAAGAACACTTGTACAGTTTCACATCCTGATCAAATACTCCACTTATATTGGAGGAAAAAATTCAGTAATTTACCAAGAGGTTTACACTGAATCAGACGCTTTTACTCATAAGAGATTTTAATTTGGATTCACACACACTTTTGTTTTACAAAGGAAGACTAATTAGAAAGTTGGAGTGGTGCAAATATGTCCATTTTTGTCTTCATATAGATAGCTGAGTATTATCTTAGGCGTTCATCAATGTGAAAGGATGGAGGAAGAGACTCTCTGGCGACTGATGTTTGAAAACAGAACTGTGCATCTTCTGTGTGAATGTAGAAGTCTGGGCAGATTGTGTCCATTGCAACCATATGTGTGTTTGTGCAGTAGAATATTTATGTTTTAATTAAATCAAAAACTTTTTACACCATTTGGAGGTACAATACCAACTAAAATTCATAGCAATTATTTAAAAATAGGATGACTAGTTGAAAAATTATATAAAAATATACACAAGTACATGGGCGTCAAAAATAACTTCAACATACAGCGTAGCTCCTCTTCGAACTTTGTGCTCCAGCCATCTGTTCTGAAATAGCTGAATAAAACTATTACATCACAATTTTACTAACATCATATACCATATCACATTGAAGCACAATGTAACTTATTGTGTTCGTTATGTCATGATTCTAGGATATTTAGTGTAGTTACTTTCAATTCAAAAATATTGCAGATTCACTTCATAACCATAAGAACATAAGCTTAGGAAAAGCAAATGCCTGAAGCAGAATGAACTGAATAACCTCTATCAGATATGAACTTTTGTCGCCCCCTAGAGGCGCTGATCCCGATTGTAGGACATAAAAAAAGAAGACAAATATGGATTTGTTTTCTTTATTCTTCATTAATGATGTCACAATGTAACAGACTGTACTGTTTTTAGAAAATGATATTTACACAAAATTAACAATTGAGTGTTTTAAAATGTACTTGAAGTCAAAAAATTAAATAGTATATTATTTACATTTTTTTCTTCTTAACGGGCTTGAAAGAGGCCAAGTGAATACATTCATTTACGACAAAAAAAAAACAAAAAACACTCGACCACATGCAAAAGATTGGAAAGAACTCAGTGGAAAAATGTTTCTGGACCTGAGACTGTAGAACCATTCAAGGCAAACTGAAATTGCAACTTGTTTTTTGCGTAGAAAAATTTAAAATAAATAGTTTTATTCTGTTTGTGTATCTTTTAAGGCCAAAGGAATCTGTAAACATGTAGGCAACATCTGGTGCATCAAGTTCTATGGACATTATGGCAGTTAATGCTTGGCAGAACAGCTTTAGTAGAGTCGGAATTACATTTACGGTACTGTTTTTAAGTTTGCAAGCATTAAATCTATCCACAGAGCCCATGCTAATGACAGAGTACTTCCAGGTTGTTTCTGATATGTTGATTAGGAGTGAGATTTTTTTTTTTTAAATCACAATGTGCAAATATTTAACTGAGTTCTGTTGCTCAAACTTAAATACACACTCTACGAGCAATTATTTTTTTTCTTTATGTTTTTAATTAGAGCTTTAGAAATTTCAATTAAGCTATATTCACTCATTAAAGTTACACACTTTGGCCAGCAAACAATTATATCAAGATTTGCTTACCTTGATATAATTTTCATTGTTTCTAGAACATTTCCTCAGCTAACAAGCAGCTTAGAAAGCTTAGTCTGAAATCCTGTACAAACTGGTTCCAGCTCAAAAATAATCTGTGCATTCAGTTTATTCCTTTTTCCAAAGCAGGACAAAAGAAAATATTACTTGTGTATCCTATGAAGAGCTTCAGGTGTTCAGAAGCTTCTAAGCCTTCTGCAGTCACCTTGTTTCCCTGCTGAGACTTCAGGCGTCGCAGTGACGTCTGAGAGACTATCTGAAGCAGAATTAACTTTCAAGGGGCGGCCGCAGGGGAATACAACCGTCCATCTCCAGGGACTCGGGCCAGCCTTCGTACTTGTTGCTGCTCTTGCTGTTCTTCATACGCTATTGGAAACAAAAACAGGCAAACAGAGCTGATGTCAGCATCTCAGGCCCCAACAGCAGCAGCTATAGTCTAATGGTTTCTACTCTGCTGAAACCAAATGAGCTTCCCAAGTTATATGTGATTCAGTGGTTTTGTAGTAATTTATCCACGTTAATATTATTTTATATTTTTAAGTGAGATCTTGTGCAATATGACTGTAAAATGGAGATAGCTTTGACAACATATAACCATCACACCAGCTGCAGATGCTCTCTGCTGTTTTTAATATTTTTCAGTCTTTAATGAAGCCAGTAGTTCATTATCTATACGATTTCATTTCAAAGCTGGCTAATGGTTTCACGGCACACTATTTCACTGCTTCTACATTAATCATTTAAACTTCCAACAATGCTTTTATTGTGCTGCTGAGAAGCTTAGCTGTAGTAATGAAAATCTTACTAATGTTGGGTTTTTTAACAGCATAGCCAAGCGGATATGATGACAGAACTTCAATGATTGTTAAAAACAAAACTTAAAATAATTGTGTTTAATTTGTGTTTTTTTTTTTTTTTTTACTAATTCACACAGAAAAAAAAATCTAAATATACATTTAGATAAATAAATACATTTGGATAAAGCTGCAGAGAAATCATATCATTTTTGAAAACATGGTTATGGGATTAATCTGTCTTGTTCTTTTAATCAGAAATAGTTGAACATATTTAAATCGGTTGGTTTCCGGGCAGGAGCAGGCTTTTGAGCACAGCCCATAATTTTTTTTAAAAAAAAGAGAGAGACTGAGGGTAGGAGTCAATCCAAAAGCTTAAAGTTAGCCAGCTTTATCCCTTCCAAAACCAGTTTTGATGTGCGTTTGATTCCACTGCCTCCTGTATCTCCTTTAACTATCTAGGAATTGGTTTCAGGTGAAATTGAACAAGTTCCCCTCCTTTATTGTTTTTCCACTTTGTGTGACGCAGCAGTACCAACGGTTGCAAAACAGACCCTCACTATCATACCACCATCACCGTGCTCAATAGTTTGAAAGATGTATAGGTCTGAGGCATCACTTCGATTCCTCCAAATATATTGTATGGCAACTTTGTCCAAATAGCTCAAACTTTGGCTCGTCTCACCATAAGGCATTCTCCAGAAGGAGTTTGGCTACTTCATCAATCAAGTTCAATCAATCAAGTTTTTCTTTGGTCCTGGTTCTGGGGGTGCAGAGCAGACCAGAACCAAAACAAACACGACTGCATGTTCCAACAGGACAATGATCCCAAACACACATCAGAACTGAAAACTTCTAGAACGGCTCCGGCCTGAGTTCTAGTTCAAATTTATAGAGTATGCTTAAAAGCCTGATCTGTGCCAGGAAGACGATGCATCAGAACTATGTTGAAAGCTTGTTCATGGTTATGAAAGCTACATGGGTTTTTTTGCAGCTAGCCAAATGACATTTACCCAAAGATTATACATATAAATAACAGAGAATAATAATTCACAATAATTCAAACTTGTGCACCTATTTTATTTTTAAGATGAATGTTTAATAGCAATTTTAGTGAGAGTGAAGGTATTTTATTCCCACCTAAAATGAGAATAATTAAACTTCTTATTGGTTACTTTATATACATTTTTAATATAACCTCTGCAGTGGAGAAGAAACCAGCCAGAAACAACTAAAAACAAAAGCCTCAATAGACGGTGAATAAAAAAAAAACTCAATTATGCCAACTTAACCAAAATCATTAAAATAATTTGTCCCGTAAAGTAAAGCTATTGGCAAATGTAGTACACAGATGGAGCACAGGAGAATGCTGCAGCAGGTCTTTACCAACATCCTGTGCATCAGACTGAGAGTCGGCTCATACCTGCTCGAAGGGGCTCTTGTTCTCGATGCCCTTGGCTCCAACAAACACCCAGCTGTCTCTAAAGGCCAGCTCCTTCACAGCTGTACTACCGAGCTCCTCAAACAAACGTCTAGACTCATCATTCAGTCTGCCAAGACAAACAAAAAAAAACAAATTGTTAGAGAACTGTGTATGACATGCAAATCGGTACCACAGACTAAATGACACACCATTTAAATCTTTTGATGTTTTACAGCTCGTGCATTGGTGTTTTTCGTTTATTTGCACTGGGAATTCCAAGTATGAGAATCAGCTGAACAAGATTATTACACATGAAGCAGCATCATTTACAATATAAATGCATCATTGTTGGTCACAATTTTGCATTTTGTAATCAACAATGCAAAATTGGCTACTCATCCAGTTCTATCAATTAGAGGTTGAAGCAACATGTTCTACATAAAACTTACATTTTTGGGGGGACAATAAATAAATAAGCAGAGTTCTCATACTAAGCTAATCACACATCCTTGATTCTTACTTTGTAGCAGCATCGTCAAAGGAAGCAACAAACACAAGTGTTCCTTCGTGAAGGGGCCGCAGAAACTTCAACAAGTTGGACATATCTGAAAAGAAACGTTAGATAAAGTGCGGGTTTCACTTCATTCGTCTTGTGTGCCACTAGGACTGGAATACAGATTAAGCAACATTTCCTGCTGGATTTCATTACCTCCTGCCCACATGTCAAAGGTTTTAGTCTCCAATAGTTCACCTGTCACCCCTAAACCAAAGAAACAAAGTGTTAAAACTTTACTGCAATCAATAGTTAAAATAAATATAACAGTTTATCATAAGTTGAAGATGAGTCTCTCACCATTCACCAAAGCTATATTAAGTCCTCTACCAACATTGTTCTTCACACTGCTCACTAACCTAAGAGAGACAGAGACACAAGTCTTTAATATAAATTTACAGTGCGTAGCAGAAGTGTTTCTCTTCCTTGAACTTGTACACATTTTGTCACAATATAATGTGCAAAACAGACACATTTTTCTTAGAAATAGAAGTGATAGAAAATTGTGAGTATATATGCGAGATTGAATCCTCTGAATAAAATTCAGTTCACTGCTTTCAGAAGTCAGCTAATCTACATATCAAGTCTACATGTGTGTAATATAATCTGAATATGAATCCAGCAGTTCTGTGAAGGCCTCAGAGGTTTGTTAGTGAACAAACAGCATCGTGAAAACCAAGGAACACAGCAGACAGGTCAGTCTGGAGCAGTTTAAATCAGAGTTGGGTTGTAAAACACACAATACTGTTCAATCCATCGCCAAAAATACATTAAATACATTAAGTACTGCACAAATGAAAACCTACTTAGGGGTAGTTCAGATAAGGAAGGATGGGGAAGTTATCCAGAGTTCATTCAAGTATGAAGGGAGCTAAATGTTTGGTAATCCTGGATGAAAGTCTGTTAGAGATTTTAAAACAGGCAGCAGGACAACAACTCCAAATATGCAGCCACAGCTACAATGAAACAGTTTGGATCAGGAATGTCCAAACAACAGAAGGGTGATCTTTCTATTTATAACCACATTTTTGAAATTATATCAAACTTTCCTTCCACTGTGTGTGGATCCATCACTTGATATCACAACAAAATACACTAAAGTTAATGTTCTAATGTGGGAAAATATGAAAATGTCCAAGTATCAGGACTTTAGTAGGGCACTGCTAAGGCACATTTCTGCACCTACTTACACTACATTACACACCAACAAGTCAGCAGCGCAAAGGAAAGGCCTAACAAGACAAAAAATAAAGCACCACCAGACTAAGACAATACTTGCATCAAGCTCCCCTGAGATACTTGGGGGCCTTGTTAGGAAAGCAAAGAAGAAGGAAATGAAAAACATAACAGAGAGAAACAGAATGAATAAAAAGGGGGAGGCAGGGGAGATTAAGATGCAAATGAGGAGAAGAGAAGTTATCTCACATCTTGTCCTCCAAGCAGATTTTGGGGCCAATGACGTTTGCAGCTCCAGACACCAGACGGAAAGCTAAATGCTTTGGAGGACAGGGTGCTGAAAGTCCACATTTGTACCTCCGAGGATGCGGTTCAGCTGAGATAGATTATATATGAGTCAACAATAGTTAAATCACAAACTAACAGAGCATCGGTGCATACTTTGTCTGTTATACTTACACTGGGTTGGCTCCTCTCTTGTGCCTGGAAATATAAACAAGTTTTCTGATTAAATTAAATAGTATCAAAAATAAAACACTTGATTTGATTTTGCTATGCAGTAACCCTGATTCTTCAGGTACATCTAATGTTCATCAGAGAAGCCGATTAATCTTTTTTTTTCTTTGTTACTAATAGGTTTATCTTTAGTGACTGAAATTTCAGTCATTGAAGATAAAACCCATTATGATGCTTTCAGCTTGGCTTTTCTGTTTAATCAGAAACACAAAACCACAAGAAACTTAAATCTTGAGATCTAACATAAAAACATCTATAAAAATCTAAAAGTTTCCTTTGATATTTCTGCTTAAACCCACAAAATAAGTGAAGATGACTCATTTTACCAGTGAAGATGTTTCGCACAGATAAACTGCCGTCTCCTCCAAATAATGCGCTTGCGAGCAGCCAGGTGAAGCCCGCCAGGAGCAGGACCACCACGCCTCGCAGGGGGGCTGTTAACAGAATCACGACATACAAGTTCAGGCAAAAGACACTTCAGACAAAACTCTCTGAAGACTTACGACTCACCTGTGAGTCTCATGATTCACCGTCTCATAGACCTGTAGACAGGGCAAACAAGAGGTTAGAGTCAGGTACGTTGAGGGAATTTAATATATGTAATAGGGTTCAATTTTAACCATAGTGTAAATCAAAATTGGTTTCTTCAAATTCATTTTTTTAGTCTAAAAAGTTATTTTCTCCTGACTTTTATTACTATATCAGTTGATGCTACAGTTGACAGTTGGTAGTTACTATGGTAGTTACCATGGCAATGCTGTTACTGGTTGGCAACCAGTAGTAGTGAACAGTAATTATATGCTGGGTTTCATGTGTATTTTGTCATGTTCTGTATATGGTTTTAACTGTTCTCATAGTTAAAAGGTTGTGTATTTCAGCTGTGTTTAATTTTATAACTTAACTGTTCTGTCAACTGTTCTGTCGTATCTGTACAATTGTTGAAATCTGCTTTTCTTCCAGCTGCAAAACATTTGAGGGCTCCTTCCAAAATATTGTTCATAAGAAAATAAGGGAATGTCACAGTTTCTTCTTTTCAAAGTCTTCTTTGCTGGATTTGCTCCTCTGCTGATGGCCCTTGTCATCCATTTCAACAGGTCTTCAAATGTTTATGTATACTCTTAATGCATTTTCTACAACGCATGGCTAATTTTAATTTTCCCAATCACTACACTTACAAAAAGAGGTCTTAAAAATAATTTCTATTCTTCATACTCCAGGAAAAAGCTTTACTTGCATTAAAGCAATCAAAACCTCCTTAAAACTGCTGAGCAACTTTTTACAAGTTCTCACTGGTATTTTTGATCATTTCTCTTGTGTGATGTCCTTCCAGTTTTTGAAGTTGAGATTACATAGATTCTACAAGGGTATGAATAATTTTGACTGTAACTGTAGTGTTTTAAAGTATTTTATCAGATGATCAAGAGAAAAATGGTCAGGTTTTTTTTAGCATTGCTTGAGATATTACAAATTCACATAAATCTGCAATGTATGTCAAGAGGAAAGAATGTGGGCCCTTAAAAATTCAGCATTGTCT